GCTGTGAATTGGGATGGTCTAGCCTACAGAAGATGTAAGTTTGCGTGGACACGCTCCGCATTGYTACCATGATGTTATGTCTCCAAATCAGTGGTGAAAAATGGAGCCTGAAAAAGTGACGGTCGTTTTTTTGTTTCTCGAAGAGCTAGGGCTTTTTCTTCAATGTTACAGGCCTTTTTATGTGTTTTAGGCTGACAGCAGACTGCAACAAGGTAAGAAATGTTTAGGCTTGATTTATTTCACTATACATTAAAGCAATAAAGTTTACCTTCAATGTTATCTAGCTGCAAACATCATAGTGACTGATGTTTGGTGCAATTATCTCAGAAAAGCATTAAAAATTAACTCAAATGTATGTGACTTCACTTTATCAACTGGCTTTAGAATAGTTAATGGTAATTTACCATTTGAAAGCATGTATATTTACTTAGTTATGAACTGGTTTCAGAAAATGAATCTTAAATGTAACAGGCCTAACTCCTTTTAGTTACATTTAAATGTAACTACTTTGTACTTGCATTTGTTACATTTAAATGTCACTAAAATAATTAGTGACATTAAATTTAACACTGGTCCTAACCCTAATCCTAATTATGAGAAATTTAGGAATAAGATTGGGGTCAGAATGTCAACATTCTTAGAAAAAATGTCAGAAACATATATCTAAACAAGTAGTTACATTTAAAGAAATTTATGACACTCAAACAAATCATATGAATTATAAGTTTGAATGTTCTGATGTATTTTCTTTTTTGTTCTTTACCGATAATTAGACATATTAGACTGAAGACTTTCCTTTTTGATAAATCCTATGGTTAGACTTAGGTTTCCTGATTTATTCTTTATTTCTGCTGCTAWAGACTTAGACTGCTGGAGCACAAACTGATCACATTTCTTCACTCTGCTATTGTCTTTAGTCTCTGTTCTCCACAGGTTTATTGTAATTATTTCTGTCATGTTTTTTTCTTTGTATCTTCCAGAAGAAGGTGCACCTGGACCAGTCCTGGACCAGTTCTTCTGTGTTTACCTGTGTCTCTTTCCTTTCCCCGCAACCCAGCTGGTCGAGGCAGATAGCCACCTGTCCTGAGCCTGGTTCTGCTGGAGGTTTCTTCCTGATTAGCAGGGAGTTTTTCCTCTCCACCATTTGCTCAGGATGGGAGACTGTGATGAAGTGATTCAATGCAGCCTGCTGGTTTCTTCTTTAGATTGTCTTTTTTATGTACAGTGCCCTGAGACAACGAATGTTGTGACATGGCGCTATATAAATAAACTGAACTTGAACTTGAACTAGATAAGACCACAGTACTGCAGATGATGAAAAGCAGGTTAAGTCATATTCTTGCAAACACTGGTGGTACACACCTGTGCCCCTCATGTAAGACCGTATGATATACAGTATTGTAACAAAAATAGTTTTATCAGAATTATGACAGTTGTTTACAGTGACAAACTGTACATTTTCAGGTCACAACAGCAGATGCTGTCCTCCGCAACATCTGCCTTGGGGCTGGTGACATCATAGCTCCGGAGGACAAGCCTGAGGACAACACTGAGGATGAGGAGGAGGCTGACCAGGAAGCTGCAGGTGGGGTTGTCTGGAGGAACCAGATAGCAGCAGAGGTTTCTGCACCAGTGGGCCATGACCATTGTTGAGGCAAGTAAAACACACAGTAGCAACTGATGTTAACATAAAATGGTTAATCCTTCTATCGATGCACAAGTTTACATTGACATTTATGACAGTTTTCTCATCCCTTCAATTGAACAGATGTTTGGAGGTGATTAAATCATTTTCCAAGATGACAGTGCCATAGGGTGAAAACAGTGAAGGCATTCCTTGGAGAAAGACACATTCAGTCGATGTCATGGCCTGCAAATAGTCCAGATCTCAACCCAATTGAAAACCTGTGGTGGAAATTTAAAAAAAAAAAGGTCCACAAGAAGGCTCCGACCTGCAAAGCTGATCTGGCAACTGCTATCAAAGAGAGTTGGCACCAAATTGATGAAGAATACTGTTTGTTACTCATCAAGTCCATGCCTCAGAGACTGCAAGCCGTTGTAAAAGCCAAAGGTGGTGCAACTACTGTAAATACTAGTGATGTATTTTGAATGGTCTTTTGTTTATCTGTTTTTCATGATTCCATACTTTTTTCCTCAGATTTGAGTGATTCCATATTTTTTCCCTGTGCTTGGTCAATAAAAGTAACATTCACCGACTTCCACAATGTTTTCTCTTCATTTCTTTGAGTGTTCCTGAAAAACAACAAGTTGAATTTTGGAATGACCTTATTATTGTTTCAAGTTTTTGATCTGAGTTTGTTTTGCAGAATGAAATGTCTGAATGAGTGCTCATCCAAGACTGGTGATTCCATACTTTTTGCCAGGTAAATGTCTGAATGAGTGCTCATCCAAGACTGGTGATTCCATACTTTTTGCCAGGGGTTGTAGCAACTGACCTCCAAACAGGTGGACGGGACTGTTTTCTGCTAGGACTGTGTGGTGATCTCCCCCTGCTGGTGTGATGGCAGACTTTAAATGAAAAGCATATGAGCTGAACTGAACTGAGCTGTGGAGAACTTGCACTGTTTTGTTGTTTTGGTAATCTGTTTAATCACTCCACTTCACAGATTTTCTCTTTCAGACATTATTTTTTTAATTTCATTCTCATCTAGTTTTTTGTTTTGTTTTTAACAAATAAATGTGAATTCCACTTTTAAACCAATTGTCTCCAGTCTTCATTGTGATTGTATGATGGTAAAACTAACACAGATTACTGTAAGAAAGCAGCTTAAAGCTGTGACAGGTAAATGAGGGCACAGATTACAGTGTAAAGCAGGGGTTCTTAACCTTTTTGACCTCGGGGCCCAATTTATTGAACATAAAGTGACACGAGGCCTAGTAAGACATTAATAATGTATGGATCAAAATGATAATTATTCTAATCTAAATCTTGGTTTAATTATTATTGTATTTACATTGTAACTGAATTAAATACACTTACATTTAAAAGTAAAACTCCTGTCAAATAATCACAAGACATGATTATGACAAACATTTTTATATTGTAACCTGCCCATAACAATTATTTGAACAAATACAACAGTCATTCAACAGACCTCTCAGGCTTATCAACACATACACAATAACAAAAATAGACAATTCAGTAGCTAAAATTGTGGGCATAAAATAAATAAATTAATAATGTTTAAATGTGACCCACGCGACCCTGAAAAGGAAGAAGCGTGTACAGAAAATGGATGGATGGATGGATGGATGTTTAAATGTTTCAAATATAAAAAACTGTAAAAATTAATTTGATAAAGTACAAATGAAATATCCCTTTTAAACTTTTGCATGGTAGAAACAGAAGCTGCTGTTCATATTAGTGACAAATAATAACAGTAACAACAGCTTTTTGACAACTTTAAAGTTTATTTAAAATACATTCAAAATGTTTAAAAACAAACTACAAAAATAACTTGATAAAGTGCAAATTAAAATATAGTTGTACCTGCAACTGTATTTGATAATGTTTTGAACTTTTAAAATTTTGCATGGTCAAAATCAAAGCTGCACTTCACATTAGTGACAAACTTTGGCCTTTTTTGATGGGTTACCTTCATTTTTGCTTTTACTTTTTCAATTAACATAGGCTGTGTCCAAAACGACAGGACGGATCCTCCGAAGGCCGAATTTGTCGGCCGCATACGTCACAGCGCCG